CTGTTAGAATGCATTAAAAAGGGTATTTACTCAAGAGACAAAACTATATTTCTATCACTTTACAAAACTCTAGTTCGGCCATATCTTGAGTATGGTGTCCATTTTGGTCCCCAGTCTTCAGGAAGGATGTGCTAAAACTAACGAGAGAGCCCAGAGAAGGACAAAGCTAATAAGGAGCTGGAGGACCTCCATTATAAGGAAAAAAACCCACAAAAATGAAATGTATTCTCCCTGGAGAAGAGATGCTTAATTTGAATTGCGATATACAAATCTTTAAATGGTGACTAGCATATGGGAGAAAACGTTTTAACTAGAGATGAGCGAATCGAACCTGGCGAAGTGGAATTCATTTCGAATTTCAGGAAAAATTCGATTCGCATCGAATCCGAATTTTAGCAAACTTCGGGTGCACGAATCAAATTTTTCCCAATCAGCCAGCAAAAGTGTCACTGCAGAGAGCTCCGCTATTTCTGACAGTTCTGACAGTTCATTTACAGCGGTTGAAACATTGTATCTATTTGTTTCCATTTAGGATACAGATGTTTTTTTTCGGAAATAAATAGATACAATGTTTCAACCGCTGTAAATGTGAAGGAACTGTCAGAGAACTGTCAGAAATAGCGGAGCTCTCTGCAGATACACTTTTTGCTGTACTGGAATACTTCTTCTTTTCATTCTTCTTTCTTCTTTTCATTCTTCTTCTTCTTTTCATTCTTCTTCTTCTTCTTCTTCTTTTCATTCTTCTTCTTCTTCTTTTCATTCTTCTTCTTTTCATTCTTCTTTTCATTCTTTTCTTCTTCTTTTCATTCTACTTCTTCTTCTTTTTCATTCTTCTTCTTCTTCTTTTCATTCTTCTTTTTTTCATTCTTCTTCTTCTTTCATTCTCCTTCTTCTTCTTCTTTTCATTCTTCTTCTTCTTTTTTTTCATTCTTCTTTTCATTCTTCTTCTCTTCTTTCATTCTTCTTCTTCTTTTCTTTTCATTCTTCTTTTCATTCTTCTTCTTCTTTTTCATTCTTCTTCTTCTTTTCATTCTTCTTTTCATTCTTCTTCTTCTTCTTTTCATTCTTCTTCTTTTCATTCTTCTTCTTTTCATTCATTCTTCTTCTTCTTCTTTTCATTCTTCTTCATTCTTCTTCTTCTTCTTTTTTCATTCTCTTCTTCTTTTTTCATTCTTTCTTCTTCTCTTTCATTCTTTCATTCTTCTTCTTCTTCTTCTTTTCTTCTTTTCTTCTTCATTCATTCTTCTTTTTTCATTCTTCTTCTTCTTCTTTTCATTCTTCTCTTTTCATTCTTCTTCTTCTTCTTTTCATTCTTCTTCTTCTTTTCATTCTTCTTCTCTTCTTTTCATTCTTCTTTTCATTCTTCTTCTTCTTCTTCTTCTTCTTCTTCTTCTTTTCATTCTTCTTCTTCTTCTTTTTCATTCATTCTTCTTTTCATTCTTCTTCTTTTCATTCTTCTTCTTCTTCTTTTCATTCTTCTTCTTCTTCTTCTTTTCATTCTTCTTCTTCTTTTCATTCTTCTTTTCATTCTTCTTCTTCTTCTTTTCATTCTTCTTCTTCTTCTTTTCATTCTTCTTTTCATTCTTCTTTTCTTCTTCTTTTCATTCTTCTTCTTCTTTTCATTCTTCTTCTTCTTTCCCATTCTTTTTTCATTCTTTCTTCTTCTTTTCATTCTCATTCTTCTTCTTTTTCATTCTTCTTTTCATTCTTCTTCTTTTCATTCTTCTTCTTTTCTCATTCTTCTTTTCATTCTTCTTCTTCTTCTTTTCATTCTTCTTCTTCCTCTTCTTGTCATTCTTCTTCTTCTTCTCCTCTTGTCATTCTTCTTTTCATTCTTCTTCTTCTTCTTTTCATTCTTCTTTTCTTCTTCTTCATTCTTCTTTTCATTCTTCTTCTTCTTCTCTTTTCATTCTTCTTCTTCTTCTTTTCATTCTTCTTTTCATTCTTCTTCTTCTTCTTTTCATTCTTCTTCTTCTTTTCATTCTTCTTCTTCTTCTTTTCATTCTTCTTCTTCTTTTCATTCTCATTCTTCTTCTTTTCATTCTTCTTTTCATTCTTCTTCTTTTCATTCTTCTTCTTTTCATTCTTCTTTCATTCATTCTTCTTCTTCTTCTTTTCATTCTTCTTCTTCCTCTTCTTGTCATTCTTCTTCTTCTTCTTCTTGTCATTCTTCTTTTCATTCTTCTTCTTCTTCTTTTCATTCTTCTTTTCTTCTTCTTCTTCTTCTTTTCATTCTTCTTCTTTTCATTCTTTTCATTCTTCTTTTCATTCTTCTTTCATCTTCTTCTTCTTTTCATTCTTCTTCTTTTCTTTTCATTCTTCTTTTCATTCTTCTTCTTCTTCTTTTCATTCTTCTTTTCATTCTTCTTCTTCTTCTTTTCATTCTTCTTCTACTTTCTTTTCATTCTTCTTTTCATTCTTCTCATTCTTCTTTTAATTCTTCTTTTCATTCTTCTTCTTTTCATTCTTCTTCTTCTTCTTCTTCTTCTTCTTCGTCGTGCCCCGTGACTGCTCAAATGAGTGAAGTGTGCGGTGATTCTAAGATCGACGGCACTCATCTGCATGTCATACTGACTGACAGTATTATTTCTCTTCCCCAGCAGACTCCAAGGGCATTTAAATTAAAGGTACAGTGTTCTGCACTAATATAAAGGCTCTCTGAAGCCTAGAAACCCTTTTAAATAAGTTAAATTTGCGGCGAATAAATTCGCATTGAATCGAATTTCTCCCGCAAATTCGGCGAATCGGCCGAATCGAATTTTTGAATAATTCGCTCATCTCTAGTTTTAACCTAAGATCTCAAAAAAAGACACGTGGCCATACAATGAAGTTGGATGAAAAGTGAATCAGTCTTAAACTGCTTAAGGGGTTCTAAGCGGTATGTATGTGGAACTCTCCCTTCCACAGTTGGCGGTGTCAGTAGGGAATGTAGATAAATTCAAAGAATTTTTTAGATGTGTTTTCTTAGCTAGCACAATGTACAGAGATATTGGAAATGATAGTGACATAAACACATACACACTAAGGTTGAACTGGATGGACCAGTGTCTATTCAACCTGACCAACTACAGTATGTAACAATATGTGCATTTGACATATTGTACGCATATTATTTATCTTTAAAAGCCTCCCTTCCATGTGTTGACATCCAAAAGCCCTGAAAAGCAATCAGCTGTGGATCTGTTGCCTCCTCACCTCCTGTTTTAACCCTGTAAAGCCTGGGCCACCATGTTGCAACTGTGTGCATTGCAACAAGTTTCAGTCCACCCATGGCCCCCCGAACTGTACCATATTTGCTATGGCCACCTTGCAGTGCAATATGTGTACATCCTCAAACCCCCCCCCCCATGTTCGACTGCAAGTTAATTAATTAGTAAATTAAAATACATTAAAAATTATTTTTCATCTTCCTTGATAGTTGTGCATCAAAAGTAGCATGTACATAGGTTAAACCTTTGCCTTTTTTGGCTTTAATTTGTTAGCTAAGCCCATCTAGATCTGCTAGTGCATCTAAAGATCACCACCATGTGTTACAATCTGATTGTACAATCTCCTTTAGATCAGGAACTATGTTGTGCAAGGGCCTGCTTGGGTATAGATTGATTGGATAGGTTAGCTAGGTCCTCATAATACATAGTTTTGGTAAATCTAAAGTTTACTGTATGGAGATTTTATGGTCATATAACGTGTATAGTGACGATTGTACTACCCTCTCCCCATTTTAACAAAGTTGTCTCCATTGCTTCCCCATCCAAAATGGAGACACCCTAAGACAAAAAGTGTGCTACTGGACAGATTACCAGGTAGAAATAAAGGAAAAAAACTGCATTATATGCAATTTTTTGTGTAGGGTTTTTCACCGCTTAAGTGTCTTTTCACACTGTGCTCCGTTCTGTAGGAGATCCATGAGATTAGCTTGCTGACTGAGTTTTTTGACAGAGGCTGTACTATAATGGCTTAATGGGCTGCCAGATATTAACGGACTTGTGTCCATTTACTTTAGGCTACAATATGTCATGTTTAGGGCCTTTTTTCATGTTCTTTTCTGGACCTTTGTTGGTCTTAGGTAGACGTGGCAGGCCGGTGTTAGCAGATACAAGTTTACGTCAGCCTGCCCTTAGACCCACATGGAGCTACTGATCAGGTCCACCTGAAAAATGGGCAGGTGGACCTGAGCAGAAAGTCCATATCAACTGGTCCTTGTACAGTACATGCTTGGGGCAAGCATATACTCATACTAAAAGGTTAAATAAAGTAAAACAAACAAAAACAACAGCAAAAAAAAATAAATATAGAGAGAAACATTGGACCACTTGGTCTATCAAGTGGGAAACATCTTCCCACCTCTTTGTTTCTATGTTCCTAAAACCCTTCAATACAAAATAGACATCTGTTTAAGGACTATCCCCCTCTGGAGAACTGTAGCCAGTCCCTTCATCTATTTGATATAACATTCATTTGTAGCTTCCCTGCCTTTCTAAGGCACATTTGTTTGGTACAATCTCCACTTTACCATTGCATTAGAAGGACTGCTTTAGTAAATTGAGCTTGAGAAGCTAAAATGATGCACCCTGGCTGTCATAAAGTTTTTCGTGATCTAGATGTTCCACTGTTTTAAAAAGTCTTAATGGCCCTCTGAGAAGTTTTAATGTTGCTGCAACCTGTCTCCTTGTTAAATAATAAAGAACGCGATCAATAACACTGCAAGCCATTAATAAGCTGTGGTTTTCTCAGCTCCCAAACACAAATCCCCACTCTCTGAATTAGTCATGCCAGGCCGAATAACATGGGTGTCACTCGCCACCACTGTTTGAAAAATCATTGCATTAGGATCACAGATATACAGTGGACACGTGAAGTCACTCAAAGATGAGCTGGGCTCATGTGGCTGTTTATGGCAGGTGGGAGTAAAGAAAACTTTATTTTGGCAGAAGCCACATTAAAGGATATCTTGGGGCATACAAAATCTGGAGTGTGCAAAATCTGGTGCAGATCTGCACAGAAACCAGTCAGCTTATCCCCCAGTTCACATATATGTGGCCGTGCGGGCCGCGTTTTGCACGGGCATGAGAGCCCATTCATTTGAATGGACTCCCGTGTCCGTGACACACAGAGAAGAAGTCCCTGCACTTCTTTGGAAAACGCAGCCCGCATGGAAACCTCTGTTCCCAGTATGGTTGCGTTTTCCAGTGTGGGCGGCGTGCCATTAGAACTAATGGCACCCGCCCTCGGGTCCGCATTTCTCTGTGCGGGTGGTTTTCATGTGGATTTTCATGCGGATCCGCAGTGGCGCCACCCACACAGATGTGAACCTAGCGTCAAGGTTTTATTGTTAATGCGTAATTGAACAAGCTGAAATTAGAAGTTGATTGGTTACCATGCACAGCTGCAGCAGATTGTGAGTGCTCCAGTTTTAGTAAATCTCCCCATTGTGTTTTTCTATATATATTTTCTTAACCACATCCAGTTGGGTCCAATTCTAATATTCTTCTCCTGCATGTAAAAAAATTATCATAGAGAACTTAGAACCCCCAAACATTATATATTTTTAAGCAGAGGCCCTAATGAATAAAATGGTGGGTTATGCAATTTTTTATGTCACACAGTATTTGTGCAGATTTTCAGCAGTTTATCAAACGCAGTTTTTTTTTGGGAAAAGTACACTTTAATGAATTTAAATACATAAAAACCACAAAATAATACCCAGTTGCTTGGTACAATATAAAAGATGTTGTTACGGTGAGTAAATTGATACTTAACAAGTGATGCTTTAAGGCTAGGTACACACCTATGCAGGTTGCGTTTGACCCATTTCTGCATTGTGTTTTGCGTTTTTGCACATGTGGTTTTTTGATGCATTTTGCAGGGTTTTTTTTCTTGTTGCTAGGCAGATTTAAAACACAAAATGCATCATAAACGTGGCAAAAACGCATCAAAAACGCACTACATGCTTTTCTGCAGCATTTCCATTGAGGTCTATAGAACCAAAACGTTTTTTTGCATTCAAAAAAGTCCTTGACCCTTTCCAAAAAACGCACCGGTGAAAAATGTGAACATGTCCCATAGGAAATCATGTTAAATATACTGTACTGCATTTCTGCAAAATGCTGCGGAAAACGCATAGGTGTGTACCTAGGGTAAAATTGTGTATACTTGTGCCCAACTACTTGGTGACGCTTGAAAAGCCTTTACAGTTTACCAGTTTGGAGTTATGCAGGAGGTCTGATGCTAGAATTATTGCTATCACTTTGAAAACTCTACTTATTGCATCCTTGGTGCATTGGGACCTTTACTTTCTTGTCTATTGCATGAGCTGCCATTTTACAGCATCATGAAATGTATGCAGATCTCATGCATTGGTCTCCCACTGCAAAGCAAGGAGGATAAGAAGGAATATACTTATCCTTTGTATTTGTTATTTCAGTTGCTTCTTGTTTTAAAGTTAAACTCCTTTCAAAGGTTTCTATTAGGGAGATTTCCTTTAAAGTGGTTCTAAAGGCTCAAGGTTTTTACCTACATGCATTTAATGAATGAAGGTAAAAGCCTTCTGTGTGTAGCAGCCCCCCCCCCCCAACACTTACCTGAGCCTCCTCTTGATCCAGCAATGTCTACATGAGCTTCAGTTCTCTAGGCACTCTCACTCCTAGTACATTATCCTCAAAACATATCTTTTATTGATAAAACCTTGGTAAGTGATATATTGACAAACCGAGAGGTACTTCAAAGCAAGGTAAAAAAAATCCGGAATCAGCTGCACTCTTCAATCTTTATTCGTTATTGATAAAATCCATATCACAGACAGTGTCAGGGACAAAAGGTTAAGGTGTTTCATGCTGAAAACTAGCGCTTATTCAGCGGTTTATGAATAAAGATTGCGTTAGTTTTCTTTACCTTGCATGAAACGCGTTAACCTTTTTGTCCCTGACACTGTCTGTAATATGGATTTTATCAATAACGAATAAAGATTGAAGAATGCAGTGGATTCCGGATTTTCTTTACCTTGCTGCCCTATTAAGACTAGGGAAGTCTGGATACACTGAAGTCTGGATGAATAAGCGGTCGTTTTGAGCGTGAAACGCGTTAACATTTTTGTCCCAGACACTGTTTGTGATATGGATTTTATCAATAACGAATAAAGATTGAAGAATGCAGTGGATTCCGAATTTTCTTTACCTTGCTGCCCTATTAAGACTGGGGAAGTCTGGATACACTGAAACCTTAAAACAAAATAGATGGCGCACCATCCTAGTGCATTATCCTCAAAATATATATTTTATTGATAAAACGTTGGTAAGTGATATATTGACAAACCGACAGGTACTTCAAAGCACGCCCAGGGCTCTGAGGAAGAGGCAATTCCTCGAAATGTGTTAGCCTGTTGGATTTCCACTGTTCTGTCATGTGATGTGTTGTATCGTGGAAGTTGCTGTTATATTATAAGGTTTGATGCACCTGCTTGTTTGTGAGTATATCAGTCAAGAGGGCCAGAGAGCACACAGAGACAGATTGCACGGAACCGATGTGTGGGCGTTTATTGGGGAGGTTTTTGGGGCACAGGTAACAGTTCCTTTAGTCCACAGATCCACACCAGACACAGCAACACAGTACAGTTCTCTGGAAGGCAATATGGAACAACAGGGGTATGGTAATCCACAGGGTTAATCCACACAGGAGGCTCCAGGCAGGGAAGGGTTAAGTCCAGGCAGGTTCACGGAGAGCAAGGGGTTAGGTCCAGGCAGGTTCACGGAGAGCAAGGGGTTAAGTCCAGGCAGGGGATAGATCCCGCCAGGCAGATTCACAGGGACAGCAGAAGATTCCTCCACAGTGCAGGGATTCCAGGCAGCACAGACAGTCCAGGAGATGAGGAGGAGGACGGGGGATGGTCGTATGAGAGAAGCTGGCACTCAGCGCAGCCTTTTCTAGCACACGCAGCCAGGAGAACAGAAGGGGCTTTTTTCCTGCTCACCCTCAAGTATAGAGCTGTGTGCCTTGTTGGTAACCGGAGACTTCCTGTCGGGTTACCATGGCAATGGGCCCAGCCTCCCAGGTCCCCACCCAGGGAGCCTGGAAAGATGTGCATAAGGGGGAAGGGAGGAGGGGGCCTGTTTGTGGATTCCTTCAGCAGGGGGCCAGACTGCAAGCGAGGGGGGTGAGGGGCTGCTGCGGGCTGCCTGTGTCAGGGACACGGAGGACTAGAAGTCCCAGCATGGACGGGGCAGAAGAGTGAGGGGCTGCTGAGGGGTGGGGGATGGCAGGCAGCAAGCCTAGAGGATGGGGGGGAAGGGCCAGCTCTGTGACAATATCACTTACCACCGTTTAATCAATAAAACATATGTTTTGAGGATAATTCACTAGGCTAGTGCCCTCTAGGTTTGGTTTTATGGTTTTAGGCTTTTCTGAAGAGAATGGTTTTCAGGGATTGTCTAAAAGTGGGCAGAGTAGGAGATATCCAAAGGAATTGCTGATGTTATGCTATACAACAGCCTTTTTCAGCCAAAGAGCCTAGACACCCTGGGGTGCCTTTTGGGTTCTTCAGGGGAGCCTTGGCAAAATGCCTAAAAATTGCCCAAAAATGTGTACAGGCCAGTTGGTGGCTCGAACCTGCTTTTTTGTTACACAAAGGAACAGGTTTTTATTGTTCAACATTACAACCTTGGGCGCTGTGCAAGCCAGCTGCCAGCGTCCTATCAACCGCTGACACCATTGATAAGGAGGACATCGGGCACCTGCACAGTGTCCTTGTTTGACCCCACCCCTCTCTGTCAGCACTGGGGTCCCATTAACTACACGGGGAGAGAAAATGAGGCAGAAGAAATGCTGGAATAATCAGTACCAGTGAACAAAAGTGTATTTGTTTGAAAGAATAAATCACCTCTAATCATCTCTAATATTGGCTGTCCTATGTGTGTGGATGCTGAAAAAATGTGAAACTATTAGTTTCATTGTTTAAGTTTTAGAGTGGGTGCCCCAAGATTGTGTAGAATTTTAAAGGGTGCCTTGACTGGGAAACACTGATATAGAGAGATGAACGGGCTCAAGTTAATTTTGCACTAAAATGATGCCTTAAAATAAAATAGGTGAACTCCGCTGTATTGTTTGGTGCCTCTGATTTATTGTTGGATTAGAAGTGATTAGTTCAAACATGTACAATAGAGTAGAGAATCATTCCACCACTTAATGTGTTGTGATGTGCAATGGGTGTGCCCAGCAGAATTCTTCATCTCATGTATTCCCAATTACTGTCATGTGAGAAAAAATAATTCAAACTGTGTATGCAATAGATTTGGGGACATAATAATGTGGGAAGAGACTCCACATTCATCCAAATTCCATACATACCAAATTTCTGAGATGACAGGGAGGAACATCTTTCAATAGAAAGTGTGTTATATTATTATAATACACCAAAAAAGGTGAGTAAAAAAAGGGGGGGCTTTTTTAGCCGCTACTTTGCCTGTAAACTGGCTTCATAAAATCAGAAATGCAATTATTTAGAGTCTGGATGAAGTGATTGGTGTAGTATAACACTTTTTGTAGTTATTTACAGGGGTTGGGTAAAAATATGGAAAATACCAGTTAAAAGAACTAAATCGTTACCTAATATGTTGTTGGACCACCTTTGGCATCGAAGATGGGAATTGACAAATATAAGTCTTGGATGGTGGATTATGGAATCAGATACCACTCTTCATGCAAAAACTGTTCCAGTTTTCGCAGAGATGCCAGAGGCAGAAAACGAGCCCAAACCTTGTTCTCCAATAGTGGATCTATGATATAGAGGTCCAGCGACTGCGGTGCTCAGAGAAGGTGCAATGACTTCATCTGCATGCCTGTCAAACCATGATTTGAAAACTGCTAATGCTCAATTTCACTGAAAGCTGTCTGAATTGGAGCATTAGCATCTACGTAAATGGCACTGTCTTCAGGAAACAATGTCTACACCATGAAGTGCACAAGGTCAGAAAAATTTGTATAAAGTCGCTGACAGTGACTCTACCTTTCAAGGTGATGATGGGCCTGCAAAATACTAAGATATGGGTGCCGAAACCATAATTGCGCTGCCACCATGATTTATCATTGGCATAAGACAGTCCTGGTCATAAACTTGGAACGGTGTTCCCCACACATAAACACATCTGGTGGTTGGGGACAGTGTGAAGCCCACTTCATTGGACCATATTACAGGCATTTGCAGCACACCCGTGAATGTTTTGCTTATGGAGTTCCCTCTGCACAGTTGTTGTGGACACGGGCTTTGAGATCAGCAGCTGTTTTCTTATTCACAATCTTGTGCAATGTCCTTTTGTCTTTTTTAGTCAGTTGATCATGCTGACCGTCCTATGCTTATTAGATGACGTTTTCCTGGGAACTTATGCCATCATAACCTTTGATACTGTACCTGACAACACCGCAGATAAATTACCAACTTCAGTCACAGAGGCACCAGCTAAGCGGGCACCAATAATTTTACCTTTGGGTCATTGTCATGTTGGAAGGTAAACCTTCTTCCCATTCACAACTTTCTGGCAGAGGGCAGCAGATGTTCCTCAAGAATTTGACGGTATTTTGCCCCATCCATTTTTCCTTCTATCCTGACAAGTGCTCCAGTCCCAGCTGCAGAGAAACACCCCCATAACAGGATATTACCACCTCCATGCTTTACTGTAGGAATGGTGTTATTTGGATGGTGAGCTGTATTGGATTTCCGCCATTCAAATTGTTTAGTGTTGAGGCCAAATAATAAAATTTTAGTCTCATCTGCCCATAACACCTTTTTCCATGTGGCCTCAGAATCTTCAAGTTGCGTTTTGGCAAAGTTTGATTTTGTGACCACA